AAAAAAAAAAAAAAAAAGACATCTCCAGATCTCCATGGCTTCATTAAAGCTTCCCCCCCACACCCGCCCCCCGAGACGGAGTTTTGCTCTGTCATCCAGGCTGGAGTGCAATGGCACGATCATAGCTCACTGCAACCTTCACCTCCCAGGTTCAAACAATTCTCCTGCCTCAGCCTCCCAAGTAGCTGGGACTGCAGGTGCACACCACCATGCCCAGATAATGTCTGTATTTTTAGTAGATACGGGGGTTTCACACCATGTTGGCCAGGCTGTTCTCGAACTCGTGACCTCAAGTGATCCACCCACCTCGGCCTCTCACAGTGCTGGAATTACAGGCATTGGCCACTGTGCCCAACCCATGGTCTCATTAAAGGATTCTATCAAACCTTTAAAGGCGAATTAACGTAAATTTTACACAATCGTTTCCAGAAAACAGAAAAAGGAGTAAACATTTCCCAGCTCACGTTATAAGGCCGGTATTGACCAAACCAACAAAGACCATGCAAAACAAGAAAACTGCAGACCACTGTTTCTTATTAACTTAGTCAAATAAATCCGAAACTGGCCAGGAGAAGTGGCTGACGCCTGTAATCCTAAAACTTTGAGAGGCTAAGGCGGGTGGATCATCTGAGGTCAGGAGTTCGAGATCAGCCTGGTCAACATGGAGAAACCCCACCTCTACTAAAATTACAAAAATAAACTGGGTGTGCTGGCACGCACCTGTAATCCCAGCTACTCTGTGCACAGGCTGAGGCAGGAGAATCGTTTGAATCCAGGAGGCGGAGGTTGCAGTGAGCTGAGATCACATCACTGCACTCCAGAGCCTGGGCAACAGAGCAAGACTCTGTCTCAAAAAACAAACAAATAAATCTTAAACCGCAAAAAATCCTGGAAACAGCTCAGATATCCAATGGGTCGTTGAAAAAAAAAAAAACAGTGGCCCATCTATACCACAGAATACTACTCAGGGATGAAAAGGAATGAGCTACTGATACGCGATAACTTTAGTTAATCCGTAATTACAGAGAGTGGGGAAAAAAAGAATCAATCCCAAAAGGTGACATACTGTGTGATTCCATTTATGTAACAGAAGTCCTTATTACAAAGTTGAAATTGTAAAATCCTTGAAATTACAAAATTGTATCAACAGAGAACAAAAGAGCGAGACTCCATCTCAAACAAAAAGAAAAAATTAGTGCTTGCCAGTGGTCAGGGACCAGCTGGGGATGGGGAGGTGGCTATAAAAGGGGCAATGAGAAGGATTTTATGGGGAGGAAACTCACTCTTGACTATCAATGTCAATATCCCAGTTGCAGTAACACAGTATAGTTTATTAATATAAGATGTTACCATTGGGGGAAATTGAATAAAGGGTACGCGGCTTTTTTTTTTTTTTTTCTGACTCTCTTGCTATTGCCCAGGCTGGAGGGCAGGGGTGTGATCATAGCTCACTGCAGCCTCAACCTCCCAGGCTCAAGCGATCCTCCCACCTCAGTCTCCCAAAGTGCTGGGAAGACAGGCGTGAGCCACTGCGCCTAGCCATCTCTACATTATAACTGCCTGTGAATCTACACTGCAAGGTAAAATTTAATGAAAATGAACGATGATTGAATTGACCCCCACACTGCGGAGACACCAGTGAAGAGGGTTTGCATTTAGAAGTCAGCCCTGGCAAAAGCTGGTAGCTCCTAGCACTGCCCAGAGCGGGATGGGGCCCAGCCACCTATCTGAGCCTGTCAATCTCAGAGGCCGCTCAGCCGTCTCTGCCGCCGTTCCTTGCGTGTTGTCACAGAGAACCCATCTCCCTAGTCTGTCATCTGCAGATCTGTCTCCCGCACCAGGCTGGGTGCCTCCTAAGACAGCGACTGCAGGTGCGTTTCTCTGTCTCATCTTGTATGATGCCTGACTCAGCAGCTGATGAAAGTCGAAGGTGCTAACGACAGGCACATATCACAAACTCACTGCGAGGCACGACTTGGCTCAGCGTGACCCTCTCACTGCATCCCTGGAAGCTCCTGTGGGGCTGGCAGGGGACAATGTCTGCCCCAGAGCTGCCTGGACCAAGCACCCCCTTCCTTTCCCACTGTGCCTCCTGCATCCCCAGAGGGCTCGGGACACCAGCGTGAATGAATCAAAGAATCCCGAACGCCCCAACATGTGGTCAGCCAGGTATCTTCGTTTCCCTGCCTGGTGACACCCCTTCCTCGTGACAGTCAGTGTGCAGAAAAGCAGTTTTCTTCTGCTGGGGAAGGGACTGAGGTGGAGAAAGCTCGTGGGTGCTGGCTGTGCAGGTTATCCGGGCAGGTTATCCGTCTCTGGGTAAACGGACAGCAGCTGGTGTATAACTGGTGCAGATGGAGCCTAAGGTGGCCCCACCGCCCCCACCTCCTGGTAACCATGCATTTGTGGGCATTTCTCCCCATAAAAGTATGGGCAGGACTGTGACTTAAACCTAACCCGTAAGAACACAGCAGAGCTGACGGACTGTCGCTCAATGCTGTATATCTCACTAGCCGACTAGCTGAAGACCTCCCTTGCTGGCTTGACGTCAGTAGCCACATCAGAGGGGCCCACGGGGCAGGGAACTGCAGGCGGGCCCTGGGAACTGCAGGCGGCCTCCAGGAGCCAAGTTAAAAATAAATGAAGCCCCCATCCTTCAACCGCAAAGACGTGGATTATATCAGCCACCACGAGAGCTTGGAAGGGGTTGTATGAGTCTGTTCTCGTGTTGTTAATAAAGACATACTAAATAATAAAGACTGAGTAATTTAGAAAGGAAAAAGGTTTAATGGACTCACAGTTCCACGTAGCTGGGGAGGCCTCACAATCATGGTGGAAGGTGAATGAGGAGCACAGGCACATCTTACATGGCAGGAGGCAAGAGAGTATGTGTAGGGGAACTGCCCTTTGTAAAACCAGATTGGCTGGGCGCAGTGGCTCACGACTGTAATCCAGCACTTTTGGGGGCTGAGGTGGGTGGATCACCTGAGGTCAGGAGTTCAAGACCAGCCTGGCCAATATGGTGAAACTCTGTCTCCACTAAAAATACAACAATTAGCTGCACGTGGTGGTGGGCACCAGTAATCCCAGCTACTTGGGAGGCTGAGGCAGGAGGATCCCTTGAACCCAGGAGGTGGAGGTTACAGTGAGCAGAGATCGTGCCACTGCATTCCAGCCTGGGCAACAAGAACGAGACTCCGTCTCAAAAAAGAAAAAAAGAAAAAAATGTTAGTCACCAGCATTTAAAAATCAGATTCCATATAATAATCCAGATAATTTGTTTCTCAGAAAATCTCAGGCTCAGAATTGCCCCTAGCAGAGAATAAATACCAATTCCACACCACACCCGAGTAATGCCGTGATGGCCCAGACTCAGTACGAAGGCTCCCACAGCCCCAGCCACTCTCTTCCCTCCTCTGCAGCTCACTGACCTCCCTGCCGGGCCACAGATGCACCATAAATGTTCCAGGACCTCTGCGCTTGCTGTACCTGTACTTGGAACACCGTTGCCAAGATGCTCGTGTTTATAGACAACACGTCATGGGCTATCACTCGGCCACAAAAAGGAAGGAAACTCCAACCAGGCTACAGCCTGATGCACCTCAAGGACATCATGCTCAGTGACGTCAGTGAACAGACGCAAAAGGACAAATCCTGTGTGATCCCATTCCTAGTAGGTCCCCCGAGTCGTCAGATTCACAGAGATGGAAAGTAGGATGCAGGGATGTCAGGGGCTGGGGAGTGAGTGTTTCATGGGGTCAGAGTTTCAGTTTGGGAAAAGGACGAAGTGGTGGAGACGGCAGAATAACAACATAAATGCGTTCAATGCCACTGAACTGTGCACTTAAACATGGTTCAGGCCGGGCGTGGTGGCTCACGCCTGTAATCCCAGCACTTTGGGAGGCCGAGGCGGGCAGATCACGAGGTCAGGAGATCGAGACCATCCTGGCTAAC